TTATTTAAGTTAAGTTAAGTTTTGCCATAATCATGTCTTTTTCCAGAATCAGGTAGCTGAACAACATTGGTAAAAAATGTATACATTATATATATATATATTTCTATTAATCATTTTCGGCCTTTCGGCATTCGGTTTTCGGCCAACTGTTTCCTATTTTCGGTATCGGTTTCGGCCAAGAATTTCCCATTCGGTGCACCCCTAATCACAACACCTGGCGCTAGGTAGCAAAAACGGCAATAGGTCTTACCTCTGTTGTCGTCTGATCAAAAGTTGTCTTCAATGGCATTAAAACGATAAAAACAGTGCTGAAGTTAATCCATAGGTTAATCCAATGTGTCTGTGTCCCTTTGAAATAATTTCTGATAACCAATAAGCAATAAACCTACCTTTCCGTTTTCAGATTTCAGAGCGTGAGACAGTTTATTGCTCTGGGCAAAACTGCATGCGCATAGCCCCCACTTTTTTTCGTAACGTTGGTTTGTATGTGGAGAATCCCCTTCGATTATATTGGCTCTAACGGTTAAAAAGAGATCACCAAAATCGACCAATGGGTTCCAGAGAAACGGCAAAAACGCCCATTTCCACCCAAATCACCCCAGAGGTGGAGTTTTTTTTGCTAAACCTCTCTAAAAAGGTGAAATGTCACTTGTGTTGCATCAATCTTGATACAGGGTACTTATATGTTGTACGATGGATTCCTAAAGATTTTAGTCTACCATCCCATCATTCAAGGGTGGTTTTCACTATAAGTAAAAAATAATTTTTATGTTTATAATCTGAATTTTCTTTAAAATAAAAAACATCTATATTGTTTCTGATTTTTCTACATCCAACTCAAAGGTTTATCATTACTTTGAGAAAAAAGATTATAATTTCCCCCTTTTAGAAGTGAAGTTACGGTCATTTGTTCTGGGAATGTCCTTTTCAAGCCTGAGACCTGAAAAACAGGGATGCGGTCTAACAGGTTAAAGTGCACCTATCGTGCTATTTTAAGGAATATATTATGGGTCTCAGATATATACAAATATATAAAAACATGTCTATGATGTTTTTTGCTCAAAATACAAGCCTTCATCGACCAGCTGAAGCGGAGAGAGAATATAGCTAAGCCCCCCCTGCTGGTTTGGATTTGTTGGATTTGGTTGGGTTTGGTTTGGCTACTTTGGGGGGGACTCCAGATCTGTGACCACCCCACTTCGGTACCTTCCCTAGTCCGGCAAAACAGTCTCCGCTGTATCCTTCAGCGGACAATCCCGACGCGAGCTAAATCCGTGTGTAGAATTAGAGCTAAATAAACCCAGCGTTATTAACATCAACAGTTACGCTAAATAAATTTAGCTAATAAGTAACTGACTTTCTGTAGGTAAATAACCTCTTTTTTCTTACACTTGTTATACAAATTGTCACTAATGGGACTTGTGTCTAGACCCTCGTCGAGACTCACTTTTCATTTGTCAACTGGCACCACGAGTAGATGAAAAGCCCGGCAACTACATTGTTCATAACGTATTACATTGTGGGAAAAGTGGGGTCAATGTGAAAAGTACAACGGGACATGACTACATTCATCATTCTTTCCCGACCCTTACTACCTAACTCCCTACAGCATTTCA